GGGACCCGGGCGGGAGAGCGCCTAGGCTCGCGCGCCTGCGCAATCAAAGGATTCCCGACCTCGGCCCGCGTAGGTCTCGCGGCCGCTTAGCTCTTCCTAAGACAGGTGTTGGTGCTGCACCGCTGTGCGTTGCTGCAGAAGACTGTGGCGGATGGGCGCTGCTTGCTTGGGGCAAGCTAGAATGCTTGGAAAGCTTGCGTTTCGAAAGAAACCTCCGGACTCCGCATGGAGGAGGGAGCGCTACATTAAAACCTGCGTGACCCACCATTCCTACTTCATTCTCTTCTGCTTGCTATCTTTTTGATTCAGTTCCCTGGATCAAAATGTTAAGGTCGCGTGATGCCTTCAGGCATCCCCAGCACTTTGCTGCCCTGCTAAACCGAAACCAACTTTTCTGCACCCTTAACCCTTGTCGATAGCAAATGCACAACTTGGTTGAAAGGAAGCCTTTCAAACAGCCTTCTGAAATACCAAATGCCTAACGAACTCAGGCCTTTTGAAAATAGGTGCGGCTGTAACCATGTCAGGCGAAATAGGGTCGTGCTGCATTCCCGATGGAATATTGAAAACACTTCTACCCAACTGGGTTAGTTGTACCTTACTCGTAAAGGAAAGGCAGAGAGTAATATGATCAATGATGCACTGACTATATAGGAGCGGTCAGCTTTTGCTATACTATGAACTTTGATCAAATGCTAAATTAACAGGCCCTAAAATTCAAAATCAACCTAAAAGCTATCCTCCGTTTTAGAGACGGGAAAATAGCTGTAGGTTATAGTATATGCCTTTCTCCACCCTTCTGCTGGAATGTAAATTCCATGAATGAAAAAGCCCTTGCCTTGTTCACTATTCTAGTTACACCCCCCCCCTAACACGGGTGTCTGGTACATAGTTGGAGCTAATTCGTATTTACTGAATGAACGAATGAAAGAATGAGAAACGAGTTCTCAAGGTTTCTCAGAAAGTTCATGGAGAAGCCAGAATTAGGGTCCAGGTCTCCTGACCTTACTTAGCCAGGGCTTTGAATTTGCCATGGGAGGTGTGGCTGGCAGGATCCCAGCAGCAGCCCTTTGCTCAGGCCACTCCAACCTGTTAGGTAAATCAACACAAGAGAAGCTAAAACGACTGTCTATCCACCTTTTCAACTTCTGGAACTATCCTATTGGGAGCTTGTTGCCGTGAAGGCTAACTAGATGTGGGATTCACTTGGATTGCATCGTTACTTTTCTGGGTATCTGTTATTTTGTGTATTAAGCACTTACAGGAACTTGACTCTTAGCCTTGCCATACATGATGTTCTGAAATAGAAGATGACAATTAAACAATCCTTACTGAGTACCTATTGCGTGCCTAACAGAGCTAGCATAACAGGAGCCTAGAGGGAGAGAAGGAAACTGTTAAAATTTAAATCCTAAAGCAAGAGTGCGTTTTAACAGGTTGAGGTACACGCAGAAAAAAGAAAAAAAAAATTAGGTACACAAAGGATAGGCTGACAGAGCAAATTAGAAACACAGATATAAACAAAAATGTGAAGATTCAAAACTTTAACATATATAAATGTGCCTTTTTTCCTACCTTTCACTTTGTGTGAAAGTGTGGACTATGCAAGACTGTATTTTCGCTATGAGAATCAGTGTCCACTCTATATCTCAATCTGGGAAGTCTTCCTGGAGGAAATGATAATTCAGGTAACTCAAAGCAGGATGTCACCAACCTAGGATATGGGCATTGTGCTTTGCCCTTGGGATCCAAGAGAAAGCAAGGCTTTTCGAGCGATAGCAAAGAGATTAGGGTGGGAAGAAAGAGGCAAATCCGATTCCTTGATACTCGATCTGAAAAGAATTACTAATTATATTCTAGAAAAATCATCTTTTCAGTATATTTTGGTGGTGTGCAGAAAATTGGCAGAGGTTTAGGCAAATAAGATGCTAAACTAAAGTTGCAGAATTTGTATCAAATGGGCTAAAAAAATTAGAAAATTCAGCAACTATCGACCAAAAAGTAGCAACAGGACAACCGATAGGTTAAAACAAAACAAAAAGGACAAAGCATTTAATCAATGAATATTTATTGAGCACCTGCTATGGTCCCAGCATGGTGCCAGTTACAGAGGATTCAGAAACAGATTCAGCCCAGGCAGCAGAAACCTAGCCACCCAGGATATCTATAAAATAGGACCAATCCTGGCATGTTTTTTTGAAGGTACAGTACTAAGTACCACCATCTCTTAGTTACATCCCTTTAAAGATAACAAAATTCCCAACTTCTCCCCCAATACAACTTTAAAAATGCAAACACTCGTCCATTTATTCACTCATGAAATAAACATTTCTGTATAAACCTAATATTTAAAAAATCTTGAAAAAGAATAAAGAGGACTCAAGCTTCCCGATTTCAAAACTTCTTACAAAGCTACAATCAACAAGACCATATGGTGATACTGGCATAAAGATAAACACATAAATCAATGGAATAGAATTAAGAGTTCAGAAATTAATCTATACGTTTATAGTCAATAAACGTATTGACTTTGACAGGATGCCAAGACAATTCAGTGGAGGAAATATTAGTCTTTTCAAAAATAGATGCCGGGACAACTAGATATCTGCAAAAAGAAAAATGAAGCCAGACCCCTCAAAACATATATCCCTCACAACATATATAAAAACTAACTCAAAATGTATCAGATGTACGAGCTAACACTATCAAATCCTTAGAAGGAACTAGAAGCAGAAATCTCAGTGCCCATGGATTAGGCAATGATTTCTTGGATGTGCTACCAAAAGCACAAATGACAAAAGAAAAAAATAGATAAATTGGACTTTATGAGAACTAAAAACTTTGGGCTTCAAAGGAGATCATAAAGTGAAAAGACAAACTGAAGAATGAGAGAGTTTATTTAAAAATCATATATCTGATAAAGGACTCTGAAATATATAAAGAATATATAAAGAAAGCTTACAATTCAACAATAAAAAGACTAATAACCTAATTTTTAAAAAGGAAGAATAATTTGAATTGACATTTCTCCAGAGATGTACATACAAATAATCAATAGGCACATGAAAAAATATTCGACCTCATTAGTCACTAGGGAATGGCTAGTCAAAACCCACAGTGAGATACACTTCACACGCACTAGGATGGCTATCATAAAAAAGACAGAAAATAGTAAGTATTGGTAAAAACGTAGAGGAATTGAAAGCCTTATTTATACATCGCTTGTGGGATTTTAAAATGATGCCGATACCTTGTAAAACAATTTAGAAGTTCCTGAAAAGATTACACATAGAGTCACCATATGATCCAGCAATTCCACTGCTAGTTAGATAACCATGAGAAATGAAAACATATGTCTACATAAAAATTGTACATCAATGTTTATGGTAGCATTATTCATAACAGCCAAAAAGTGGTAACAAACCAGTTGTCCTTCGACTAATGAATGGATAAACAAAATGTGGTATATCCAAACGATGAAATATTAGTCAGCCATAAAAAGAATGAAGTACTAACATATGCTGCATGGGTGAACCT